CTTGGCGTTGTTGTTCCGTGTCGTGCCTGGGTGTGCAAGCAGCAGCATCACAGAAACGAAAGTCTCATCTCAATAAAGTCGTGCAGTATGTTTTTTTACATCCGTCGCACTAGCACTGTACCGGGAGATCAGAGTATTGTTCAGCCAGGGGAAGAAAGTCTTTGACACTTGGACAAAATGAAAAAAAAGGCACCAGTTCAAACCCTTTTATTCACACTTTCCAGAAAAAAAGTTGGAACAGTAAAATGTGTGTAAGGGGCAGCTACCTCAATATTTGGTAGAACCACCTTGTTATTGATAACAGCCTTGATTCTCCTTGGCATACTTTCAACTAAACGTTGAAGGAACGAAGGGGGAATTTTGCTCCATGTGCTTGCAACTGATTTTTTCAACGCTGGAATTCCTGAGCAGCAATCCTTTTGCACTGTTAGTTTCAGGTGTTCCCAGAGATGCTCAATTGGGTTTAGATCCAGGCTTTGTGCAGACCAGTCCAGAACTTTCGATCCACATTTCTGAAACCTTCGTCCCACTTTCACTGCTTTGTGAGCTGGTGCATTGTCTTGCTGATAGATGATATTGGCAGTCACGTCCTGTTGGTAGTCCATTTTTATGTCCATATAGTCCAGAAAACCCTCAAACTCCAAATCCAGAATGTCAAGATACTTGGATGAGTTGAGTCTGCCGTCAATGGATGAAAAGCATCCTGGGTTCGAACCCATGAAACAACCCCAAATAGAGGAAGATTCCCGACTGCTCTTGTATGAACCTTGCAAGCACTTTTTCATCATACTTTCCCCAGCACTCCTCCATACACAGACCTTGCCCTGCTTCCCAGTTTCAAAAGTTGCCTTGTCAGTCCAGATAACTTTGGCCCAATCCTTGACAATCCCATCCTTACACTTGCAAGCAAATGCCAGGCGTCTTGCTCGATGCTTTGGAAACAAAAAAGGCCTCTTCTTTGAAATACGGCTGTGAATTCCAAGCTGGTGCAAGTACTTCCAAATGGTTCTGGTTGAAACTGGAGAAAATCAGGCTGAATTCACGATGTTTGAGATGTCCTGTAACAAACGGGGACGATTCTCTGCAGAGCCTTTTGTTGCCTGGGCAGATATCGTAGATTGTAGACTGAAAGCTTTTTGGCTGTCAGCTGTGTGGGAGATCCACCGGCTTTCTGTCTTGATAAAATGTTGTATGATACTATGGGCGCTTGATTGCTTGATCAGAAGGAAGTTGCTCATCCTGCGAATGCTCCATCCCTTCTCATGCAAGTTGACAACTGTCTTGCATGTTGCAGCATTGTGCTTTGTGTGATGCTGTTTCTCCATGCTGAATTTGGATGTGATCTTGGGGATGGTGATGGCGGCAGGAGCTGCAGATTGGGTGGTGGTGGCAGGTGGATGAGGTTGTGTTGACAAGGCGTCTGAAGGACAGGAGAAGGCAGTCAAGGAACTGAGAGGAGTGATGATTGTATTGGAAACAATAATTCACTTGAGATATGGGACAGGTCCCCCATCCCCCTTTTATACCTTTTGAGAGTCTTCCTTGTCAAGACTCAAAGAAAGTTCCAGAAAGACCAATTAGTAATACAATGATACCAATGATACCAATGACAACAAGACAAGTCAGGAAAGCAAAGAAGGTTCCAGAATTCCACAAGGTCCCATGAAGGAATGTTCTAGAAGGTTCCAGAGGTTTCCAGAGGGTGATTCATAACAAAGAGAGTATGTTCAATCAGGGTATGCCGCATTGTGGGGATGATAGTCTTAATAGACAAATCAAAGCAGTGCTCCCAAAAGTGCTTTGCTGCATATTGGACATGCTCAGAGATGCCTTTCTGCACTTGTTCGGAAAAGCCAGAATCTCTGAGTGAAATTCAGAGAATGGCAGATCACACATGTTGAACTTTAGGTTCTCATCCATTGCCTTTATGGACAGGGCTTGCAAAACTCTGAATGGCCAACTCTCAGCTCAATTTGAACAGCCTGCGTGCATCTGGTTTCACTTGTGAGGTAGTTATTTGCAGACTTGTGTGAGGACGACAGGCTGTCAAGCCTGTGACCTCAAATAAAAGAGTGTATACCCACATTTTCACTGATAATTGTGAGGATTGTACACCCGTCTCGAAGCACGTTATACACGCATTCAGCTTGGACTCCGCTGTATATATTATTATTTTATTATTATTGGTCGTCCACATAATCCACCAACTGACACTTGTTGTCGCACCTACATCACCTGTCACTATTATTATTTGTGCTATTATTATTACTATTATTATTATTCTGTACAATGGCTGCAGACCGACTGAGTCAGTGTTTGCTCAACTGCTGGCGTAGGGCTTCCTTGCTCAGTGGTTAGAGCGCTCCCTTCAATTGGGAAGGTGCCAAGTTTGAGACGTGCAGACTATTGGGCTGCAAAGTCCACCATGTCCAGCTAGTAACCCTTTACTTTTGGAATGACTAAGGACTGAACCACTTCTGTGGGAGAATTGCAAAGTCCAGATGCCCAGCTACCATGATGTTATGCCTCATATCAGTGGTATGAGAAGACAGGGCTTTTCTTTCTCTTTCTGTTGATGATTTTTACATATTTTTTCAATTAGTATTTTCCTTTGTTTTGGCTCTTTTTCTTGTTTTATCTTTTATTTAGTTGTTTGTTTACTGTCTCTCTTTGTGTGTCTTCCTTTCTTTCTGTGGCTGTGGTGAATGTCTTCTTGTCTGCACCAATCATTTCTTGCCAGTCCCTCCACCCCCCTCCACTCTGCTCTGGTGGCTGTCTGCCAAGAAATGGCCCCATGATTCTCTGAGCTGTCTCTCTTTGTTGATGGCTCAGCACCATTTGGTGAATCACCCATCCATTCTGTTCTTTACTGTTTTATTTATTGTTTTGTTGTTTTGTATGTGTGTACCCTCCTCTTTCCTCTCCTCCCTGTGATTCCAACCCTCTCCTATTTAAACTGCTGCCCCCCCTTCTTGTTGACTGTGAGAACTGTACCTGAAGTCCCTTGCCTGCCCTTTTCTTCCTGACTGTGTGTATGAGCTGGGGGTTGCAGTCCCCTGGTGTCTGACATCAGGTTGAAGTCCTCTTGGCCATCATGGCAGTGTGCTGGGTTCAATCCCCAGTGCACCTCACCATTCTGCATACTGTTTGGGTTGGACTGGGTAGGAGCCACTTGGTGATGGAAGGATAGAGGGTAAATCTGTGGTGGTGCCTCTAGGTTCCTGTCAATACATCTAGTCAAATCCAGGTCTCTCAAGGTGATATGAATGAGCTGGCTGGTCGGGTACTGCTGCAGAAATGGTCTCTCAGGTATGCCCCCATCTCCCTGGTTGTTGGCTCCTGTTGTGAGATTCCTAATCTCACTGATCATGGTCTTAGCTGGGGTCTCCCTAAAAGCTCTTCCCCAGTTGTGACTATGTCATTATATTGGCCCCCCATATTTATTTTTTATTACCATTCATCACATCCCTCACGGGCTCTAGTGTTTATCACTATAAAAGAGCATCCTGTGTTCCTTGTGCTGAATGGGTCTAAGCACAAGGGGCACACCCCTTATTCATCCTATTCATTCTTATTTTTACTCATTTTCCTTTTTCTCTCATTTTCCCACCTTTCAATCCACTGTCCCTGCACTGATGTGGTCTCAAAGCCTCAAATTATGTTCACCCCAAATTTGGAGGCAGGAGAGACACTGGGTGGAGGGGGGGTGTGGCTGAAAGAGTGATTCACCCTTCCAAATTGTTCTTTCTTTCATTTTCTCCTTTTGTTATGTCTTTTCCCTTTTTCTCTTTTCTTTCTTTCTTCCTTCTTTCCTTTTTTCTCTCCTCCCCTTTCCTATAAATACTCCCTCTCTCCCCTCCTTTGTTCTATATATATCTACTCTCTCTCAATAAATCCTACCTAGGTAACAACCAATCCTTTTCTTTCCTCTTTGGTGTTTCTCCCTAGGCCAGTGCTACCAGACCAAGCTGGGGATGGAGTCCTCTTAGGCCAGTGCTACCAGACCAAGCTAGTAGAGGTATGATTTCCCCAGGCCAGTGTGTTGTATGCCAAGCTGGGGTGAGGTTTCCTTCCCTTTCCTTTCTCTTCCTTCCCCTACCTGGTTGGTTCTCACATTGAGCTCTGCCTCTGTGATACTGGCAGATGCCATACTGTCTTAGGGCATTCCTTTGTTGAACTACTGCCTGTTGGTCTCTGTGTTGGATAGTCAGGGCTTGAACCTGGGGCCTGTGGGGTACTTGAGCAACTCCACTTGGTCTAGCTGTCCTTGAATAAAGACAGAATTGAACCACATCATCCATCTTTGTTGAGTTTGAGCTGAATCCAGGGTACTGGCTCTGCTAATAACCAGGAGCTTCCCATCTTAAAGACTTGTCTTATCCCTATTGCCACTAGACTATGGATGAGCCCCTGAAGATGAAGAGGAGATCTCATACTGTGGCCTCTGGTGGGCCTGGTCTTCACTGGGTTCAGACCCTCTTTCTCTCAGATTAATGCCTGTGATGTCATGGTGCCACACTTGTGTGTGGGAGTGGGTTTTAACTTTCCTTGCTTCTAAGATAGGGGATTCCTCTGGCCTGGTGAGGCAGATGTCTGTGTCCTAGTAGGATGAAGCAAGAAGAGTCCCACTGTCTCCCACCCTGTGTGCCCCCTCCTTGGATTGACTTGGAACCTCTCTTGGGAGTGAGACAAGATGTGTCTGGTTCTGTTAAGTGGAAAACAGTTCTGGTTTGATCCAACAGGCATCTCTGCACACTAACTGTTCCGTGTGTTTGCCCTTTGTGTCCAACCCCCTCCAACTTAGGGCTTGTCTTTGGCAGAGAGGGAGCTGGTGCTCCAAGGTAGTGGCTCCAACAGGTTGGGACCTGGCCACTTTCCTCCCCACTTTCTTGCCTTTCCCCTTGGCTTCTGCCTTGGGAAGGAGCTGGCACAGATTGGTTGGTGCTGCCTTGGGCGCACCCTTTGTTGCCCTAAGTCTCATTCCTTACTAATGGGAGGATTGAGTGGAGGGGTAATTGAACCCATGCCGCCAGAGAGACCAGAGCCCTAATCTGGCGCTTTAGACCAACTCAGCCATCTGCCCCCTGACAACGCTGAAATGTGTTGCTTCCTGTGTCGGATGTTGCAGCACTGGGAGATTACATGCACTTCATTTTGAAGTGAAAGCGACATGGCAAACCAAAGTTTGTCAGGCTACTGCTGTGAGAGGTTTCCAAGTTGCACATGCTGAATAAGCTATTTCCGTTTGATTCAAAATTCCTCTCTGGTGATGACTCCCATTTGAGGCAATTTGGCCAATCAAAAATGTCGGGTGTATTGCAAATATTCGGTTTGAAAACTTACAGTGCTGCACTGAAAATTTTTTTCTCACCACCTCTGCAACTGCAGACTTGACATCCTGCAGAGCGGAGAGCGCACCACCTGGGTTAAGGCAACAGACTCGAAATCTGTTACTCTCTGGGTTCACAGGTTTGAGTCCTGCCTTTGTCAACGAAGCAAGACTGAAGGCATGTAAAGTGTAAAGCTTGTTTTGCTGTTTGTACTTTTGGTTTAAGTCATTCCATCCTGAGTGTTTCTCCTGTGTAAACAGTCTACTCTGAGTGAGGGAGTGGAAGGAGGGAATGAAGTGGAGATGTGTGTTTGTTGGTGGTTTTTCCCAACTTGGAGAGCAAGAGAACAACTCTGGTATGAATTATTGAGACATACTGATGATATGCATGCTATAACAGTCGCTAGGCGAGTGTGCCCAGCACAGGGTAAAAACATCTCCTACATTATCTGCTTGAGCAGAGGAGGAGGAAAACTGTTGACAACAGGTTTCTGTTCCACTTAATACTCGGAGTATTTGTCATCAGTGCAAGCCAGCACCCAGGTCTGCATTGGCAATGGCTTGCTCTCCTCATGCACATTGTGAGAACTATAACTGACAGTCACAATAGGTTTGGATCTGTCTTGTGGCTCTTGCTGCTAACCAGTCAGTTCCGCCTAACACCCCTGGCAGCACATAAAGCGTTAAAGGGGGTGCCAGTGAGAACTTTGGCCTCCCAGGCCTCAAAGCAACCAACACTGTGTTGACCTGACCCAATGGTCAGGCAGAAAACTCAGTGATGTGACGCTGATTCTCTGTTTTGCAGAGATGCTAGTAGGAGTTTTAATAGGGGATAAGGTTTCAAATTGATATATATGGTCGATAAATCACTATTGGGCGGACTTGGGTACCACCCACAGCTGTCCTCGCAAATATTGTCTGCGGTTATACAAAAACAACAGATATCTACGCAAATTATCTGAAGAAAGGCTGTGTATCTGCCCTCCATCAGACACCTGGGACTTAGACATTGACACAGACATGTCAATACCATGTCTGTGTATTCCAGGATCCAGAGATCCAAGTATCCACTCCAAATCTGGAGGATGCCAGCCTAAAACCTTACCCAGAGAAGCTCTGTGTTGTCTTCACATACCCCTAGTTTGTAAGGTTTATTGCAATACAATAAATGGGTAAGTATTGGTTATGAATTTGGATCCTCAGTAAGGTCTCACACAAATCAGACACGATTCGAAGCCCGATTGGGCTTGATTTGGGTTTTTGAACTCAAATTGTTACTTTTAGCAAAGGCTCTGGCATTTAATTCAATAAAATGATCACTTTTAGCTGAATGAATGACCTTAAATCAGCCAGATATCCAAAAATTCACTAATTAAAAATTTCAAATTGAACTCAAATGGAAGATATTGACAAGTTGAAGAAATCATTTATAACCAAATGCGAACAATGCCAAAGTCCAACCTGATTTGATTCATGGTAAATCCTGACCCTTAGTCATTTCTGCCACTCTACAATTAACAGAGAGCGACCTCCAAGAACAGGCACGGGCATCAAGATTGAGGATCCAAAATGGCAATGGAGGGAAACAGGCATACTTGGTTTCAATGCTATACAACGACAACGGCATGACTCTAACCTGCGCACCCAAAGAGTAACAGATTTTGAGTCTGTCGCCTTAACCACTCAGCCACATTACAGCTGTTGGCTGAAAGCCCTCACCTGGAGTGAACTGTTGCAACAGCCAAAACAGAAGCCAAACATCCTAAGACAGCCAACTGTAGAACTGCAACCCTGGTATTTGTGGGAGACTAAGACAGCCTGTTGCATCACCCTGATGAGAGCAAAACTCCATTGAGTATGTGAGCAAAGAAGGGGCCATGGCACCGGATCAATTCCTATCAACTTGTCAGTGTAAAGCACAATGACGTGGTGTCCAGCCTGTGGAATGAAACCTTGGGAACCTTACCAAGCACTTGCACATCCCTTAACCCTTTAAAGGTCAGTGCCACTATGCCTCATGCAGCACAATGACCCTCAAAGTTGTCCCATACCTAACTTCTGCACTGATGCGACTTTTATGATGAAACTAGAACCAGCACGCTCAGAATTGAAAGGGCTTTCTGTTGGTACCTTTTCACCTTGTTTTACCCAATCTAGGCAAATAGTAATTGCAACAAAACTGCAGCTGTGCCAATGGCGGCACGCCTTTTCTCCTATTAGTGGACTGATGTAAAAACTGCATGATGTTTCCTCCAAGTCCTCCAGCACTTACCTGTCCTGACTGGGAACCTGCATCCAAAGTCTTTCCAGAATAAACCTCAAATTTGTAAATGTGTCCACTTTCCGGATCAGCCAAGGCCTGGCTTATTTGGAGAGTACTGCTTGATTCCAAGACATCCCTTGAACGAGATCATCATCTCATCAATAGAAACATTTGAGCCAAGTTCATAGAGACTTTGAAAACTCTTCCCAACAGCATCGAGAACCTCATCCACTTTGTAGGTCTTGCTGCGGGTGGGAGAGGCTGGATATTTGCTCTCAGCACAGAAGTGCAAGTACCGCAGAATGGCCTTGAAATGAGATTTGGAGATGCCTGAAATTTCTCTGGTATTTCGATTGAGAAGAGGATGGGTGCTCCACTTGTCCTCCCAGTCATTGGATGGGCTGACACCATTCCAGATGAGAAGACCAATGAATCTTGAAAGCTCCTCTTTTGTGAACCATGCCCCATCACCACCTTCAGCAGCTTCAGCGCCTGCTTCTTCTTCAGTCTCACGATTGAGTTCTTCTGCAGACAGTTGAGCACAATCCAAATAGCCAGCTCCATCTCCTTTTTCTTCAGACATTCCATTATTTGGGTGATGCAGTTCATGTTTGTATGAAGTACAATCAAATTCTGAACTTCTTCGTTCCAAACAAGATCAAATGCATCCTTTGGAGTAAACTGTGCAGCTTGTTTGGCTGAGACACGAACAGTTTTTGACAGTGTTCCAGTCTCATGTGGATGACGGCATGGATGCAATGTCTGTGCTTTTGTCACCGATTCAACCCACTCAGCTGGGTTGGTTGTACACTGCTCACCCCTGCAAGGAGCACACCTATGTCTCTTTCAAACTGCTCAGCATTGACAATCACAATGTCATCAATCATCTCAAGAGGATGAGGTCCATCAGAGCTCTCATCAGCCAAGAGCAAGAAGCACCAGTGGAGCCAACTTGTGCCTCAGAATTTCCTGGATGAATCAATGCTGAAGAAATCTGTCCACTTTCAGCAGAACCCATCACCCCCCCAACAGCAGATTCCAATGGAAAAGCAACCACTTGTCCCCGCATCAAAGTTCTGTTTTCAGCACTTGCAGCAGATCCAGAAGCATCCAAATTTTTATGAACACCAGGCAGTGTAGAGGGCTCCAAACTTCCATGTCCAGCACCAAAGGTTTGCGTGGGCTCTCTGCGTATGTTATAAATATCTGTTCCTGCTTGACAGCGCATAAGAGAGCCACTTTGAGCCACACAATCACCTAGATTTTGTCAGTTGTGAGTTTTTGGATTAAGAACAGATATCACCAGCCCAAGATTTCAATTGTTTATTTGAGAAGAAGAAGAAACAGAAGGCCCTCCTGTAGCAGGTTGCAGAGAAAGGAATAAGAGCTGCTTGCGGTACAGTAACAGTTGCTGAGGCTGAAGCATGGCTTGGTCGACCAGGTGTGAAGTGATGCATTTAGAATGTGCAGGCAGTGCTCAGACATGTGTGTGTGTGTGCATTGGTGGCCAAGCTTGGAATTTCTGCTCAGAACTTGCACCTGGTGCCTTCAACTCTTCCAAAACGTTGATGGATTGAGATAGCCTTCGGTGTCCCTCAGTTCATTACTGCGGTTTGCGCTGTCCAACTGGGGGGCTGAGTGTAAACCTTCCTCAACAGTTTCTCTCTATATCGGGATCCAACCTTTCATTCTGCCTTTCTACTCACTGCTGAACCGCTGTAGGTGGGAGTAGCTTTGCCATTTGCAGAATCAGCGCAAGGGGAGGCTATGTGTCTCCTGTGGTGAGTGGTTCAACCCTCTTGAGCAAGGGCTGCCTGCCCCACTTGGACTGAACAGACAACTGACCAGAGACCGAACAAGAACAATCCCCCTCGCCTGTGAAAGGGTTCCTTGCAAGGCCTTGCTGTGTGAGGCACAAGTTTCACCAGTGGCAGGACAATCTGTTCACAACAGGAACGAGATCTCTGCTGCTGCTGTCGTGCCTGACGTTAGTGCCGCTGGGCACGGTTGGACTGGGCAGTCATTGCCGTCAAGATCTACGTTGATTGTAGAAGCGGTCGAGGTCGGGATAGGGAATGGATCTGGGTGCTGAAACGAATCAGCTATCTGCTGCCACCAAACGTGAGAGAGCCGCGGCGCTGCACGGCGAGGTCGAGCAAGGTTAGGTGGCGGGGTGGCCGTGCCGAGCGTTGCGAGACGGCGGGACGGCGGGATGGTGCAAAGAGCGAAATTGGGTCGAAAATTCTTCTTACTATTGGTATCTCCTGACTTGTAGGAAAACAAGGGAGGGAAATCCTGTCAGACATTCTCCAACAAAAAGTAAATATCATTGTAAATATTTATTTACTTTTCTTTCTCGAGACTGCACGTGCTTTGGCGGAAAATCTTCATTCGTCCCCGACCGCCGGCCAATCATGCAATGGCAGGAGCTGCTCCTTCTTTTTTTTCATTTTAGTTTTCTTCCTTTTCCTTCTGTTTTCTTTCTGTTTTGATTCGCGAAGCGAGTCTCCGCCTATTTTTGTCTTTCGGCTGGCTTCCGCCTCTGTCGCTCGCAGCTGGCATTGCTGCGCCCATAATAAAAATCGGACAAAAGTAGAAGGTCGACACGCCAAGTGCATTGAGGAAAAAATAAAAAACCAAAAAAAAAAACCAAACAAAAACAACAAAAAAACACGATTAAAAATAGGGATGCTCAATTTTGACCGGAATTTTCCAGAAAGGACCGGCGCCGGTCCTTGCCGGTCGGTCTCCACTAATTGCGGGGGACCGGCAACGACCGGCAAAAAAAACCTGCGGTTTGCCGGTTGCCGCTTGCCGGTTCCCTGTCAGATTCGACAAAATCAAAAATATTTTCTTCACCACCCACCGCCACCCACGGTCCAGGTGGACCGGAATGCTCTGTCGGCCAGTGGGGAGTTCAATTTCAATTATAAATTCCACAAACTTCCGGCAACGCGTTGCCGGAGGCGAGAGACAAAATTGAGGATCCCTAATATAAAGTAGAAAGAGAGGAGGCACGCATTGTTGAAAAAACTCAAATAAATAAATAAATAAGAACTAAACACCAACCCTAATCATAATAATGCGCCAGCACAGCAACCAGCACAACAACCCCCGCAACTCGGAGGACTCCTCCTCCGCTGCTGCTGCCGCCGCCGCCGTAGGAAGTAACGCTGCCGCCACTGGCGTGAACACGACGTTGATGACGATGATGATGGCGGCGGCGACCACGACGACCCCGATGACGATGGCTGATCCGACTCCCACCGTGACAATGACGACGTTGACAACAACAAGAGCGCCGTCGACGCCATTGTCGGCCGTGCCGCTGCAACCACCCCTCCATTCCCTTTCCGCCGGAGATCAGCGGCGAGGGCCGCTCAATCCAGAGTTCTCCACGAACCAGCAGTCGTTGCCGTCGCACCCTCACCACCACCAACACTTTCAAAACAACGGCATTCCGCAATCGTCACCGGGTTGGATCGCCTCACTAATGAACCCGTCGAGCGCAACAACTTGGTCGTCAACTACGCCATCCACCCCTTCAAACATGCGGTATGTGGGCACTCCCGACTCCGATCTGCACTTCAATCAACAGCTGCAGATGCTGGACCAACGGGCGAACCCGTTCCTTCAGAGCCATCAGCAACACCAGTTTGCCCCCTCGGCTATCAACCCATTTCCCTCTGTCGGGACCGAGTCCGAGTCTCATGTAATCCCGTCCCAGTTGCCCTTTCCCCCAACTCTCACCTCCGCCATCAGCGCAACAGCTGCTGGCGTTTCGTCCGCCGTTGACGAAACTCGCCGATGGTATGTTAGATTAGATCGTTCTGCTCTTGAGCCTTTTTGCGCGCCGACTCCGATCGAACTGCCCCAGGTAGACTGAAACCACGCCTCTTATGAAAAAAAAACCCCCGCTCGCAAGGTCATGCGAGTATTGCCGCAAGCGCAAGCGCAAGTGCGACGGTGTGCGGCCCCACTGCGGACGGTGCGTCAAGGATGGGCGGGCGTGGAGCTGCACGTTTCTCGGCTTCAAGGAGAAGGTTGACCCCGTGCTGGCCGAGCAGAACCGCGCGGCGATCGAGGCCGCTCGCCTCAAAACGCAGGGCGCCTTTGGTGAGAGAGGCTAGCTTTGTCCAATCATTCTCGTTGCGTTGAACTAACTAAAACTAACTGAAACCAACCCAAAAAAAACCAAACCAAACCCAACGAACACGAACCGAACCCACACCTGCAGTGGTGGACCCCGCATGGCTCGCAACGCCCGACACCCTCGAGACCATGATCGTGCGCACGTCTCTTACCAGCGCCACGCCATGCTTCTCCGACACGCTCCTCGAAGGAAAGCCGTCGCCCGCCGTCTCCACCCGCCTGCCCGCCCGGCCCGGCGCCGACCCGTCTGAGCAGGAGATCCTCGCTGAGGCGTGCTTCAAC